TCCAAAAGTTACATAAAAATAACCACATGTATCTTTCGCCAGACAAGACATAATTCTGATTGGTCTGGTCCATTCTTTCTTTCTTCTTCTCCTTCTTGGCGCTATTATCGCCTAAGCGGTTTTGGCCGAGTCCAAAAGAGCATGCCAGTCACTTCTCTTCTGTGCCAACTGATGCCTTAGTCCTTCGATCGCAGTGGGGGCCGTCCTCTTTCTCTGCTACCACCATCGATACCCGCGTAGGGATGCAAACGATGCATCGATATTTTTGAAACATCGATAATATCAGTTCAAAATTCGATATTTGCCATCGAAGTTTACAATTTCCTAAAATCGCTAAATTGTCGATACATCGATGCCGGTTTCAGCGATGTTTTACCATCGAATTCCTATCCACATCCACATACTAAAATTTTTTGACTGGCCATGAATTTTAATATTTATTCTTTTAAAAGGAACATTCAGAAATTTCGAGTTTACTCTTATCTTTCGATATTAAATATGCATACTTAGTCATTAAAAGAGGACCAGGATCCCGTTAAAATTTCAACGAAATTGGGCCTTGGAGCTTTAGGCTCAGCTAGCTTACGACGGCATGCATTTCTATTCTATTTATAGGGAAGGAATGGTAAATAAATAAAGGCAATAATTGATTTACAGAGAGTTGGAATTGAAAAGTATTAAATTTTCCTAACAAATTTCGAAACATCGGAAACCATCGATATATCGATGTTTTTCTGGCGATGTATTTTAGTATCGATGTTCATTTTTCCGATGCATCGAAACATCGATGTATCGAGCGTTTTTGTCCATTCGTACGACATGATCAAGTCAGTGTAGCCGTTGTATTTTGATTCGCTGCACTATGTCCATGTCGTTTTAAAGCTCATATAGCTCACGTTCCATCGTTTGCGGTACTTGCCGTCGCCAATGAGTAAGAGCCCATAAATCTTTCGCAGAATCTTTCTCTCGGAAACTCCAAGAGCCGCCTCATCAGATGTCCATGCGTCCGCGCCATAAACCAGCACAGGCATGATGAGTGACTTATATAATGTGATTTTTGTACGACGAGAGGACTTTACTTCTCAATTGCCTACTCAGTCCAAACTATCACATGTTGGCACCGAGCAAAAAAGCGAACATCGCATTTAGTGATAACGTGTTGTAGGACGCATTACCTTATAGGTTCTTCTAATTGTTTCCCTTCTTTTAGGCTTTGTCTGAAACCTCGTTTGGTATCAAACGGCTCGGAGTGGTCTTGCCCAATTCTGAGGGAGCTGGTGGTATTGCTCGACGTCATATTACATAGCCGTTTTAGTTTCGCGGAAATACGAAATGAAGACATCGTGGCATAAAGACAACTTCTTTTCGTGCTGCCGAAAGCGGCTTTGAAATCAACAAATAGTAGGTGTGTGTGGAGTCTATTCTCACAGGTCTTTGGTTGGGGGGCTCGGGCCAGGTAGGGCTACGGCCATGCATGCATTCCCACCCTGGTGCGAAATAAAGTCAATTGACATTATTATCTTTTCAAAAGCAAAATAAAGTCAACAAAAACTTGAAAATAAATTCATTGACGCTATTTCCTCATTTAAATGGAAATAGCGTCAACAATGCTTAAAGTATGTCGATTCATAGAAAAAAAAATGTTGTTCTTACAATAAACATTGCCCCGTAAGTGTTGTTTTTTAATAGATGAAAAATAATAATATTATATATATTATATTATTATATAATAGAGGAAAAAGGTTGGTGCTATTAATCCACAAACAATCATGAACTACCCCCAATTGATTTTATTAAAAAATTTAAAATTACGAATATAATAAAAGCACGATGCGAAAAACCAAACGCAAAACATAGCTGGAACACGAGAAATATTTGAAGAAAGAGAACTTGCAAAACATGTTTCGTTTCCACAAAAATAAAGCGAACACTATTAAATTGCAGAAACAATCCATGTCCAAAAACCCCGGAGGAACACTGAAAAAATTCTATGTTTTAAATTAGCATATTTTGAACGAATGCGGAATGTCTAAGGTGGAAAAGAAACCACGGCCGCCCCGAAGCTAAGCAAATTTAATGTTCGAAAGAGCAATAATGCCAATGGATTTTATTTCGCTATTGAAAAGGTAATAATGTCAATTGACTTTATTTCGCACCAGGGTGGGAAATAAAGTAAATTGACCTTATTTCCGTTGATCTTATTACCTATCACCGGTAGCAGAGGATAGTTTATCTGACAACGCTGAGTTAGTACAAATTTAAGAGGATTAATCGAGTTAGATAGTATTTTGATAAGATGGATTGACGGATATCAATCAGTTGAGATAAATTAGCTCTAATTCATCGAAATGTGAAGAATTTCCTTTCAATCTTCTTCCTTGAGAGAATAGCTGAAATTTGACATTTGTGTACCGAAGGCAAAAACAAAATGTATGTACATACATATGTATGTAGTCCCTTTTTTTACTTACCACTAATAAAAACTGGTTTTAAAAAAACTTTTCTAAAATTACTTGTTTACTTTGTTGCTGAATTAATTAAGAATTGAAATTTGAGAAGTTCTATACAAAAAATAGCAATTCCAATATTTACTTTTTCGAGTTTTTTCTTGAATATGATTTGACCTATTAAAATCTACATATTTTACTTTATGAAATGCAAGAATAAGTAACCTTTGGAAAAAACTTTTTGTCAGAGCATAACCTAGGCATATTCAACAAGGTAGAAGTGACAATTCAGTCGAGCTCTCTCATAGCTGACTGTAATATCAAAAAATGTAAACAAAGAAATTAACTCTTTGTTATGCAATTACCATATTTGATAAAACTCAATGGGTCATATGCATAAAAACTGAGAAATTACTTTTACTTAAAATTTCATACCTTTCAGTTGGATTTATTTAAAAAATCGAGTAAAAGGTTTGACATTTAAGTAAAAGCATTTGCTTAGGTTTTATGCATACGGCCCAATATCTTTGAGATGAAAGTTTTTGTAAATATGAAATTATTTAAAATTTCATTAGAATCAGCTTCATTTTAGTTAATGCATTTTCTTTTTAATGTAAATGTGAAAATGCATACACTGAAAGACACTCATTTATAAACCGTTTTGACAATTTTCTTGCTTTTACTATCCCAATGTTTTTGAGAATTTATTCAAATACTTAATTTTAAAGTATATTAGACATTAGACAAAAAAAAAGTTTGATTCTTCTAAATTTACATCAGAACTAGCTTCAATAATTAAGCTATTAAATTTTTGGAATTCGAAATTTACTTTCCATTAAGTTTATTGAAAATTACTCTTAGTGTCTTTATGTTAAAAAGAAATTCTGGTTTAGGTTTTATCAGACCACCATTTGAAATTTGGTCTATCCATGTATATGAGTTTGAGATTTTCTTTTCATACCCGGTATGATAAATCCTGCACCTGGGAACAAACGCGTCCGCTTCGAAATATTCGGCTGGGATAGGCAACAAATAAACTCGCACACGTGAAGAAAACCTCGCAGCGATTCGCCCACCGTTGTCGCTTCACTTGACAACTCGGAGGTTTAAAGTAACGCACAAGCTTTTTGTCCTGGCTCTTGTCAGACACAACGCACCGCCCGTAAATCCTTTTCGTTATACCCGAGCGCACTTGTGCACAAGGGTATATTAACTTTGTTCGCATAACGGTTGTTTGTAACATCCAAAACGAATCGAGATGGATATGGACTAATGTATACATAATTGCTCAGAATGAATAGAGAAGTCGTTTAAGCCCTGTCTGTGTGTCCGTCCGTCTGTCCGACGGTATGAGCCTTGGCCAGGTTCTAGCTAAGAAATCTGTTGAAAATCTTTGACCTGCCATGTAACACAGAAACACGAAAGCTGCGATAAATCAGTAACTACTAAAGCTAATTGACTCAAAATCGATTATTGCAATGACAACTGAGCAAAAAACTGGGCTATTATAAATTTGTGCATAATGGGCGTGGCGCCGCCCGCTTATGACCACAAATGTGTATCTCGGTAACCGATTTATCAACTTCCACCGAACTCGGTGCACTTAATATCCTTGGTACGGAAAAGCAATTGGTTTGAAAATTATTCAAATCGGACTAAAATTGTTATGCCTTGAGCATAACAGAACAGTTCCATATTCAAGCTTTATAGTGGAGAATGACGTTATGCCAATTGAGAGGTTTGATGTTAAATTCAAAGTTTATTTAATCCAATTCGTGGTAGACGTGTTAAAGTATAGCCTTTTTGGACACTTTTCTTCAAATGTGTCCTTTTTATTAACTTCATTCTTTAAAAAAATTTAACTTTAACCAGGTTCCTTTAACTTAGGTTCCTTTTTATGAATTCACACCTTTTTTCTCAATAATATAAGAAATTATAATTCTAGTGTTTTGTTATGGAGTTCCTTAATTATTATGCATTATAAAAAAAATGAAAAATTCGAAATAGAATTTCCGAGCATGTACTGCAAATCGTACGATTTGAAATCAGTGCGATTTGTAAACTTTGCATTAATATTTTAAGGAAAGTATTTATTACATATTGCAAATAGAAACGGCGCTAAACACATCATTTATGTACGGTATATCCATCGATTCAGTGCCAAATTTTGCCTTTTTGCTAAGAAATCTCCAAAGTAAGTTTTGCAAATCGTACGATTTGAAATCGGTGCATATATGTACCTTTTATATAAAAAGGTTTGATCGCTTAATGACCAAATATGAACAATTCTATTTAAAAGAACATTGTGTGAGTATTAAGAAGTTTTTTGTTTCTTATTCCTTCACTCCCAAAACCACCAGATAATAAAATAAAAAACTTTAAACTACTTTAAAATTATTTAATTTAGCCCCGAAAAGATTGCAGCTACGCACTGCAAAGTTTTCTCATATCACATTCTTAAGGAGATCATAATAAACAATAATATTTTATGAAATAATAATGTAAAATATGTATACGTACATAGTAGATATATAATTATTTTTAAATACTTACACAGATTCTTTTGTAAATGCGGCAAATTGTTATTCGAGATAAAATTATAGTCAAACGTTTTTTTTACATTTGATATTTAATATTAGATTTTTTTTAATTTATTTTTTATATATTTTTAAGTCCCTGTATTTCACTGCTGGTATAGATACAAAAATTTACTCATATAAATATGAATTAAACACTTTTAAGAATTTTTTCTCGATGTAGATTAGTGCATTGCATTAATTAGTTTTTATATTAAAAAAAAATACTCGGTATGTGTTATATCTTTATCGAGTGTGAAGTTAATAGAACTGAAGTAACTGCTTTATACTAATACATATGTAAATATAAATCCCCTTTCTTTGATTTTGTAGGTTCTATCATTAGAGGGTTACTCAGAGGACTTCATTTCTGATATTAGGAAAATTAATTCGATATTTATTTATTAATGAGGCAGATAAAATATATTTGGGGTATAACCCTAAAGCCGATAAAAACTGTTGACAACTTCGAATTAAAAGTTTTAATAAAATTTCGAAAATTTTTATAAAACATACTTCCGGTTTTCGATTTTCTGTTTATACGTTTAATGGAGTCATCTTTATATCAAATTATTGAGTCGTTATATTTCAAATTGCTCTGTGATGCACAGTTTACGATTCCACTAAGTTGACTATAAATTTCGAAACTTCAGGTTGATTCAATATTTGTTTTTCGTATTTCTTTTTCGCGTTTTCTACACACACACAGATACTGTACATTCATATCTACATACACATATCCAATAGTTGTTTTTAGCTACTTTTTATATATCTTGCTATTTTACTTTATTATTTTGCGGTAATTTTTACAAACAACTTGTCGCCCAACGTCAGATATTTAAAAATAACATTGAAAAACATAAAAACGAATATTGCGAAACAACCCGAATACATACATATATATATATATACACATAATGAAGGCAAATAAAACGCGAGAACCATACGTATCTATACAAACTCAAAGTGTTGAAAAATTTATGGATTTCATTCTTTTTGTCCAAAATTCAAACATATTTACATTTCATGCGTTTGAACGCGCTCAGCGTGTTTAAAAACAAAGAAGAGAAATAACAGAAACGTAGAACAATAAAAAAAAATATTGTGTAAGATAATTACATGTTCTACACACACATGCATGCACATTTCACATAAGAGGCAGCAACTGGCGAAGATAAACTAAACATTGAGTTAAAAAACTACAATTTTAAAGATATCGAAATTCTTTGAGTATTTTTAGTACTAGCATGAGTTATTAACACATTTTTGAGTAGTTACAAGACCTTCTGATTCATTTAAATATACACACATTTTTAACGTCAAGAGTTAACGATCTTTTAAATATAAAAAACTCTCTACTATTACTCTATGATAAGAAGCCCCATCAACCCTCGATCTTAGAACTACATTCATATATTCCTCAAATTTAAAAAAAAAAAAAACGTATCACTTTTCAACTCTCGTTTTTAGCCATTTGCACTGAACACTTTCCGGCGGGACTGAATTAAAAACTGAAACTTCAAGCCAAACTGTGCTTGTTATGGGAAGTCCAAAACCGCAGGACGTATTTTTACTGAATTTCGGGGGATCCACACTGCAATGCTGCTAGCGATTGAATAATTGCGATTTGTATTTGCGACTAATATTAAATATGCGAAATGCGAAAAGTGAGCAGAGTGGAGCGGAGCGAAGCAACGCAGAATGGAGCAACGCGCCGAGCAACAACAGCGTCTGGCAAGTAAACAGGCAGAGACGGGTCGCAAAGCGAACAGAACAAGCCCCACCATGGCGATGGAGGAGGCAACAAAAGGTCGTTGGCGACCAAATGCGAATACGAATACGAAATTAAGTTTTAAGAGTTTTGCTTTTGGTATCTGAGTTTGGCTTCCTCCAAAAAGCGATTGTTCACTGTTCTCCCAAATATCGAAATTAAAAAAAAAAAAAACAAAAACAATATGATGCAGATGGAATTGTTAAGTAAAAAATCAGTAAAAAACGATGTTCGTATTGCTGAAATGGGTAACAACATTGGAAGAGGTAGAAAGCTGGCGTTGTAAAATATTTGTTCAGAATTCGCACTTATACTAAGAAACTAAAATATTTATATACATATGTATGTATGTGTGTGTGTATGACTGTAGTATTTTATATGGATATATTAGAAGGGTTTTGTGATTAAAATATTATGTGTTTTATTTAAAAAAACATAAAGTAAATTTTCTACAACAGTAGTCGGTGACCATCGGGGATTGCAAATGTGCAGTCGTAATTTTGTATATCTTTCATGAACATGAAAACATATTACAACTACATACATATGTATATTAAGAAACGGTGGACCCATGACAACCTATATCAAAATGATCAGAACGTCGAGCTTTTGTCGATTTGGCCATGCATGTCTGTCTGTCTGTTTCAACGCAATCTAATCAAGATATCCGACCGAAATTTAGTAGTGCGTGTCGTTTTATAATGTATTAATCATTTGAGTGATTGTTCAGATATGAGGTTTTGCATTATACCTCCGCAATTTATTCAGCTAACTTAAACTCCTTCATTTAGACAGCTAAAACCTTGCACTTTCGTTAGCTATTTGCTAATTAATCAAACAAGGTCCGCAGAAGAAATCGTTGAGATCGGTGCACTATAAGATATTATCTCCCGTCCGATCGATTATTCACATATACGGTTTTGCGATTTGACTAACTTATGTAGGCAGCTAAAACCATGGAATTGTATCGACCATACAAGGCCTACTGCGAAAATCATTGAGATCGGTGCTTTATAAGATATACGTATATCTGTTCGAGCGGGGCAATATAGGGGCCGAGAATCCTCGTGATTCCGGCAACGGGGATCAATGGGGGAGCCGGTTCTTTAAGACAATCTTTTACTTACTCTCTGGCGAATATTCTAATCTCCAATGGTACTTGACTGAGAGTTGTTAATTGAGGTGTTAATTATATTTTATAGCGATAATGATAAAAAATTATTACTTTAATTATCGCAAAATTATTGAACGAAAAAAAAAGATTATCTTAAAGATCCGGCTCGAAGGACCATGTTCGAGCGGGGTAATTTAGGGGCCGGAAATCCTCGTGATTCCGGCAACGGGGACCATTGGGGGAGCCGATTCTTTAAGATAATCTTTTAAAAACTACATACCAACTAACGCCCTAATTTTTTTGTTCATTAATTTTGCGATTTTTTAAAAATAATAATTATAATTATCTCAATAAAAATATTTTTTAACAAAAATTAACAACTCTCGTCAAGTCCCATTTGTAAAGTTTTTATTAGCACACACCATTGTGAATGAGCCCGCATGAAAGAAGCAGCATTTGACAATTCATGCAGCCGGCCATTTGCAAAACACAAATAAAACCAACTAGTGCCAGCAAAGGAGGATAAAAGCCAAAAAACTCAACAAAAAAGGTAAAAAAAACAAAAAGGAACTTGTTCCGGCAATCTACGAGTGAGGTAAGTCCCCTTTTCAGTGACTATTGCCAAAAGGGTGCACTCGCGGAATAAATAAAGGTGAGTGAAAACTAATAGGGAATCTCCATGAGACAACCTTCACAGGCAATTAGTGGAAAGGCCTTTGCTAGGCAATTGCTGCATTGGGCTGAAAGTTGCTTGTAAAAGGCGCCTCATGAAAATTCCCTATAACCTAAAATTGGTAAAGAAGGCGCTGGAAAAAGCGTTGTCCAAACGTGGTCTGGACCACATATTCGCTGAGTAGCGGAACTCAGCTAGTAAGCGGTAAAATCCCGCTAGTCGACTGCAACGGCCAACGAAATATATATGTACCATTAATTGCCCAGTTATGCGTTTAATTTACATGACTCCCCCATCAGGGTATTTTACGTACATATATATGTATATTATATACATACACATATACATACATATGTATGTATATTAAAAATACAGTAACAGGTTAAAGTTAAATTGTCTGATGTTTATGAAAGGTATGCAGACAGCGTTGAATCGAAGTACTCTGGGCGGCCTTTTGTATCTTGCTAACTGCACATCACTTACCGGCGATTTCTGTTGTACACATATAACTTTTTGTTGCTTTTGCTGATCTCGACTCTCTTTTGGTGAACCTGTACGACATCTCTTTACTTAAGGTTGAGTGCAGCTCAACCAAAAGAGTATTAATAAAACAACGAGTGATTACTTTAACTGCGGCTATTACCGGCAGCAGTTGGGAAGTTGGCAGTAGGGTTCCTTAGTACCGATGCACATTCGTCGCTTTCAACTTTTATTTTGCGTATCGGTCAATGCGTACTGCTAACTAATACTGCCGCTCTCAGTACAGAATTCTTTCCTTTACTACCCGGTTGATCAGAAGAGCTCTTCTATCTATATATGTACCTGTGTTGCTGGCCAAACCCGATCTTCGGACAAACTAGTCTTGCCTAGGCTAAAATAGACCAGGGGCCACAGTATTTTCACACGGAACCGCTTTCCGCGTAGGCGGCCTTCGGCCGCACTTCAAAAAAATAACCCTCATAAGTCGTACTCAAGCCACACAGTCCACAATATTGTTGCGTCCAACTTGTTTCCGCATTGGACGGATATATTGGATCTAGGTAGAACCAGTTTACAGTACATATGTATTTGAGAAATTTTACTACTTTATAGCTAATAATTTGTTGCAAACCCATCCCTTTGAATTCGTGTTTCATATCTCCGGGCCATTGACGCAATTGATTTTTCACACTCCATATGAACCTCCAACATGGGTGACATGGCAGCTATTGTCAACACGAACTTGTCTTTTTTATTTCTCCCAGAAATGCTCGATGTGGTTCAGATTAGGGCATCGTGCAATGTTATCATATTTTTCTCGATTCAACGTCGTGTAGGCCGAGCGGTGTGCCTAAGAGGGTTAAATGTGGAAAAATCCATCTAACTGGCATTGTACCATCATGTATATTTTTTTTATACCTGTGAGGAGATTCTGTAGCGAGGAAGCGACATAACTACTATCTCGGAACATCGATAAAACATTGGTTTCTTCAGTTGGCGGCTGTGCCAAATGTTCTTCAAAATTTGAACCTTTCAATAAAAATCCATTTTATGAATAGCCTTTTAATTTTCGATA